CATGACATGTGTACCGGTACGTGTGAATGTGTGTGCTTGTGTGCTAAGTTATTTACTTTCCTCTATTCATCTCTCAGTTGCCCAAAATGCAACGTATTCAAAAATCTGGACCATAATTTAGGAGCCTGGATGTTTCGATACTACCTACCCAGACCAACTGTGAGCATGTGGTATCTCTCCTGGGAAAAAGACAGAAACCCTAAACTGAAACGTGTTTCTCGTTTTGGAATTCAACTTGTGTCTTCTGAGTACACGACGTGAAGCCTATTTGTTATACCCTAGAAGTAGAAGCCGGACCACGTGGATATAGACACATATAATCTAATATTGTTCATTGTTGCATTATGTAGTTCTCTTCGCCAGAAACAACACGGGCAACTCCCCTGAAACTGATAGTAAGCTTACAAGTCTGGCACTACTCATGCCTCATGCATACACCACAACTTATGATTATGAGCTGCAATTGTTCTCCTTTGTATGTCGCTGGGTTGATCTTTCTATGAAGGGAAAACCCTAAAACAATACAGTGTAGGGTACCTCTTAAAAAATGACCGATTTTCTTCTTGTATTGCAAGTAAAGCGTTGATCACTAGATTTTCCAAAAGCGTTTCCTCGGGAAATTGGAAATAATCTGACGTCTTCAGTTGGACAGTACTTTGTGCCTATTTGAATACTATCATTTAAACGGAGATATACTGACAAGTTAGCAAGCATTTCGCGACCATAGAAACCCTGTGGTCTCTGAGGAAGAAACTTAACCATGAAAATTAATAGTTCCAATTTCAAGAATAAAAAGCCCCTCAAATTCTTTCTCACTATCGAACATGAGAACCTTTCTTGCCTTCTTAATGATAATGTGATTACATTTAAAATTAAAATCTCATTATCATAGTCTTGTAGTTCCATGATTTACGTTCATGGCACATTGTGTAATGTGGTGTAATCAACTTGCATGTTTGTGTCTGCTCTTCTTCTTTTTTCCCCCAAGTTCAACATCTCACTAGACTAAGTAGGCCTCAACATACCATTTCAGTGGCTGAGGTTGGCCCCCAGTCAAGAAACCAGAATGAACAGAACTGCTCCAGGAAAGAAAGAAATACTTGGCCCACATGCGTACTCGAATCTTAAACCTTACGTCATTACGTTATTTTCATAACCAACTTCTCCACAGCAGTTTCTACTTGAGCCCTGAACTTATGTAAATTCTCACTCAAACTTAAAATAGGAGTGTGAAAGTACTAACAGATTCATATACTAACAGGTTACAGATGACTACATAAGCACTAATGAAAATAACACAAAGGTTGAAGAAAAATTCTGAAGCAAAATATAGAAAGTGAAATAGAATATTATGAGTGAATATAAAGAATACTGAGTTACGGAAAGAGAAATCTGAAATACCTAAGAGCCAAATAGTAAGCAAGCAAAAGAGGAAGGATGAATGAATAAATATTATTAAATGTTTCCTTTATTTGTGGCATCTACAATCACCCATGCATTACAAGTTCCACAGGCTTTGCTGTCCATGGTCCTTGTTCAATGAGATCATACCTTTCTCCCATCTATATAACATTTACCTATAGGGTGTAAATGGATGATAACAGACAAACCAATGAACAGCAGTATTCATATCACAGAATGAAAACACTTTGAATATCAAAACAAGAGCGAGGGATCAAATGAATATTATGTCAGGTAAAAGTTATAGAGTGGGGAAAAAACGAGAAGAATTAAAAGAGGAGGTACTTCTATGCATCACTAGCATCGGCAAAATGCAAACAATGCAAATGTCAGCATATCTGCTGCATTAACAAGCAAGTATAATAGACAAACCAAAGTGAAACTTACAGAAATGCCCTACAGTCATCAGATTGAATTTGATAAGGATCCACTACTTTACCTCTCATTACACAATGGTCTTTGAAACAAAATCGAAAAGATCAAAGATACCATGTCTGACTGAGGAGAAAAAGTTTTGCAGTATGTCTCACCAAGTCATACTGTTTTCAGTTAGATCCGTCATTTTGCAGCTCTAAAAAAATAAACTATTCTGCAAATAGCAATATGAACATTTGCAAGAATAAGAGCATCAGTTTACATGTCTGACTCATTCAACCATTTCTACAAACATTATTCCTGTTTTCGACACAGATTTTAATTAACACTTTTCTACACCTTTAAAAAAAAAAATAATTCTGAAAAGTAAGTAAAATTGAGAAAGTTGGGAAAAACTAAAAAACTGACTGACGAAAAGCTGCTTCCAAACTTCACAAAAGGTAAGTCCAAATATCACGAATAATAAGATTAAACAAAGCAATTTGAAAAAAATATGTGGATGTAACCAAAACATTAAAAATGTCAACATCCACATGCAAAGCATTCGCTTTCGTGAATTCCTACATAAAAACAATTGGTACATGACACCAAGGAATTTGACAATAAAAGAATAAACAGCAAACCAACATATGGCAAGAGTGCTCTCACTATGGGGACTTTGAAAGCATGCAGAAGTAAACATAGTGTTGTTTTTTCCCTCTTTATAAAGAATGACAAGGTCTCTGAAGAGAGCAACTGTCACTTTGAACAATATTCTACAAAATCATTTACATGTGTCTTTTTTCTCATCTCGAAATTCAAAACTTTGAAGTAATGGAATAATATACTGGTAACAATAATGTTTAGAGAAGCTACATCTGAACACAGTTACTAACAATACAAAATGATAAATTATAAATTTAAAAAGCGCCCACTGTAAGTCGAAATGAGAAATGACAGATGAAAGAACAGACCAATTAGTTATGATCTACTCTAAATGCAGAAAATGTCTATATATATTTAAAAAATAATTTTATTTTT